GGAATGCCCGTGTGTGTGTACGAGTGTGTGCGCGTGCACGTGTGTGTGTGTGGACGCGCATACAACGACGGTCATGCATTTACAAATGTTCCCTCGGTGCGACCCTCGGCTTCTTCCCTCGGCAGCCCATCGTCGAGACGTAACGAGAGAGCCGTAAATGTCCCGAGGACCGGGAGGACGCGGAGGATCGCACGGGCGACATGCGGGCGTGGCGAGGAGCGTTCTTGATTAATGTTATTGGTGATCGTTGCTGAGCGGGATAGATGCTACCCGGAGGGAGGCATGGAATTAAGGAAAGTGGTTAGGACACTCCGGACGTTCCCCGCTGCAGGTTTGTCACTGTCGCGTCGGCGGATCGTCGGCCACCGACAGCGTCTACGTAATTGTTTTTGATCCACCCCGAGAGAGCGCTGCGCGACACGCGCGAAGGGGGAACAAAAGGAAGAAAGTGAAACGAATATATTAACAATTAACCGCCGCGCCGGTGTCTCTTATCGCATGGCACGCGCGGTATCTGGGACGGAACTTGCGCGTAACGTGGAATTCCCGGATCCTCTCGAGGTGCAGTGCGTATACCGTGCGTACCGGAAAATACTGCGAGATAAATAAATTACACGAGTAACATCGATACGCGCGCACACGGGGAAACTTACACGAGCGCGGCCGCAATCATTTCACGGATGAAATAACGAGTAATTGGTTTACGAACTCGGCCATTGAACAAAGTTTCCAGAAACTCTCTCCTCCCCCCCCCCCCCCCCCGGCTCCTCCCGTTTTCGATCGGCGTTACGTGGAGTTTCATAACACGCGCAATGGCTAATGAACGCAAATAAAAGCGCAGCCACGGCGACGCTTTTGTGCGACCCGGGCGCTCGCGTGGCCTCCCCGCAATATCGCGAAACTTGTCCGAGTTTCGAGTCCGGATGACGGGTCCCTTAGACCGGGTGGACGGATTTCGGTGATCGAAATTGCGCTGCGATTCGGATCCACAATGGTCCCGCGATTACCCTGCAAACAGAATCAGAGTCGCCGCCTGTTAATTTGTCCGCCGGACCCCCGCGCCGCGCCGACGCTATTTCGCGGACTCTTCATCCACCCAGTTCGAGTTAACTTCGTCTTCCACTCTATTCAAACAGCGTCCACGCTCAGACGGTCCTGCCTCGCCTACTCATTAGCGTCCCTCCGTCCGTTACTACTAATGCACGAGAGTCGGCCAACAAATTTACACGACGCGTTGCTGGGAGTTACTCATTAGAGCGCCAATGCGCACAATGTAATATTGCAATTCCGCGAACTTCAATGCTAATTGCGGTCTCCGCGGTCGTGCTCGTATGTAAAAACAGCGTGATTAAAAAAATCGGCAGTGCCTTTCCATCGAAGGATCCCGATGGCTAACGCTTACTATCCGCTTGCACTCAGAAAAAAAGATTTAGTTAGGTTGAACAAATGAGATACGTTGAAATTGTCTCTTTGAATCTACTAAATTTCTATACTTCTACCAAAACGTTCGCTAGATTTGAAGAAGTGGGTGTGAATTCTCTTAGAAATTCCAGTCTCGATCAAATTTTTTATTACGGTGAAGAAATCACTCACAGATTATAAATAAAAGTCCTAGTAAGGTGAAGATTCAAGCAAACTTTTTTCTGGATGTGTAACATTTCGCAGAGATAATATAGCTACGAGATGTTGAACCTGTACTGAATAGGTGGATACGTGTTATTTCGCGGAATGACCGATTTTCACGTTTTCGCCTGCCGAAAAAGCAGACGTGTAAATTTCCAAATGTTTTCCGACGTCTAGCGATGCGCAAATGACGAAGTTTAAAAGGCACGGTTGAATGGGGGCATTTTAACATGCATCTTTCATGGTGCGTCATGTTAGGACAGCTTCCTGTCCGGGATGACACACGCTGTTGCCGGCCGCGGCTCCTCGTCGAGGGGGGGTCGTTTTGCATTTTTCGCCACGCGGTAAAAAGCCGGGCCGCAGCGGTGCCTTTCCACTCGCTGCGGGTCCGTTTCGGTACCGTCCACGTAACATTATTCGCCCGGATACGGAGCCCCGCTCTGTTTTTCGCGTGCGTGCGCACCGGTACATTTAATACCTACAATCTTTTTGTCTGTAACTTTGCATTAATCCGGGAAACGTAATAAAGCGAGTACGAATAAACAGAGGGCGAGAGAGAGGACCGGCGATGGCGCCGGCGGACTCGCCAAAAACTACCGATGGCGGTGCGGGATATCCGGGCGAAAGTAGGCAGCCGGGATATGCAAACGCGACCGTAAGCCCCGCCGGATTAAGCACGGACGTATTTTCAATTCGCGATAGCAATAAGTTCAACCTCGTCCGCTCGTTCGTTACTCTCCCTCCCTCCCTCCGCTACCCCTCTGTCTTTTCCTCTCACTCTCTTCCGCTTTACTCTCCACCCTTTCTCTTTAACCCCTTTTTGCACCCCGATCTCGTTAGTATCGCTTTTATTCCATCGTTCCGGTGCCTCTTACCCGAAACGTGTCGAATCCTTTTGCGACTGCCGGCCAATCCCGAGGAACAATCGTCCTTGGCGCACACCGGCGTTCTTTATTGGCGTTATTTACGGCTTGTCCGTCTAAGCAAGTTTCGAACACCCGTGCGGGCGTGTGGAGATATTATACGTCTATTTTTTATCGTAAAAACAATAATTGCCAGAATCGGAATTATCAGCATTCTTTAATATCGAATAAATTGTATTCCGATAGATACTTTCCATTATATTATCGGTTTCTTGTAATAGTCTATTTTCTCTTCTTCAACGAGCTCCAATTAAAATTTTATTTCACGAGATAAAGCGAGATGAAGTCCCGCTTCTATTTGGCCGAAGATACAGATTCATTATGGAAAATGATACGGAATTTTCTGATCGAAAGTATAATACTAGTAAAACAACAATTAAAAGAGCCCCGTTTTAAACTAAACGTTGTACGCTTGAGTGATATCTCTTCTAAATAAAATCCAGCAATTGTACGATAATATTAAAATTACTGCGTGGAAAAAAAATCCGAGAATTTAAATTATCAGCTTGAACGGTCGTCTCGTTTAATCGTAATAAATCATTCCCCATGGGCACATAGTACCTCGCGAAACACGAAGCCGTACGTCAGTGAAGGTAAAAATTATTAACCCCTAAATTCGCGGTAAGCGAAAAATCTAATGAATCCACGGGGAGGTGGGAGCGTTATTTGTATAAATCTGATCCGTGCGCGGAACGCATCATCCGTCAGACACCCATTAGACCATACAGCGTGATCACGGCGCGTTCGCATGCTCGATGGGCACTCAGTGGTCATCTAATGGACACCGACGCACTTTTTCGCACGGCGCTATTCGTCATGACCATCCGTCGGGTGTATACAATACAACCGGCGAAAAAGCTGACGAACGTTTATACAACGTGAGAAGAATGTTGCGCTCCCGGTCACGTTTCTCCCCTAGTCCACTCACGTAACGGCGAGAGAGCAAAAAAGCTCGCGCGTTACTTTATTCGTAATAACGAAATAATAAACATGAGGAAAAAAAGGGACGAGATAAAAAGACTCGACCCACATAATAAGCGCCGTACCGAAAGGACGAACGAAGGGAGTATTAATTTCTGATTAGCTTGCAGAAATTAAAGCCGAAAAATTCTCCCCCGCGTTAGAAGGGAAGGTTCGCCGGGTTCGAGGTACTCGCGGCTCGAGAGGAAGACGCAGCGTCGAGGAGGCCTTGAATATCCGTGGATCTAATGGCATTTAAACAAGGTTGAAGATCGGAAAATTGAATAGCGTTCAAGGCGGAATTACGATGCCGCATTCACCGCATGAGCACGGAATTGCGTGATGCGAATATGCAACACGATTGTATAGACGCGCGAGTGCCGGCGGGCTTACGCCTGGTAATCGTGCTTTTAGCACCAATGCCGATTGAGCACGATGAAGCGGCGAGCCTGATTGTAGCCGGTAGATTAAGGTAGCGAAGGTGAAGGTAATGGTGGACGCGGGAGAGCGGTAAGGAGAGGAGGGAATTTTTCATTGGAGTCAAAAGTTCGGCGTACTGAAAGTTTAATTCCAGACTCTCTGGGCGTGGTGCGGCTTGAATGAGAAAAATCTCTCCTCCGCCTCTACCCCTCGTCCCTGCCTCCGCCTCCGTCGCTCTCGCGCTTTCCCGTATAGCCGAAGAAAGACGTTCCTTTGCCGAACCGTTGCCGATTAAATTCGATGGAAGGGCTCGAGCTGCGAGTGATTTAGCCGAGACTTATTTCGCGGTTGAATCGAGCGACTAATACATCGGCACTTTCATCCACGTTCCCTTCGTCGAGTTGTCAATACCGCCACTTATCGTCACGCCTTTACGAAGAGCAATTTAGTGTCGCGTAAACATTGCTTGTGTGCGCTTCGCTCGTGACATTTTTAGGCAACTGATTTTCCGTCCAAATTGATTTCTCAGTATTGGCAACACCGTAATTTTTCTTCGTCGCAATTAATTATTTATATACGTCGCTTCGACAAGGTATTTCGTAATACTAGTAATCGTGGAAGCAGACGTCGCAGCGTTAATTGTTATTCCGCGATCTTACGATCAGGCTAAAGATCGGTGTTTAACTCCACGTTGTCCGCACCACTCGATACTTGTCCCAATTAATCAACGTGGAACCCCACACGCACGCCCACCCAGCCCTTAATCTATGAGAGGTGCGGTCCGCGCGAACGCGCGCCACTGCCCTCCCCCGGAGCTATCAGAGCGTAGGTTTTGCGGCAATACGTTCGGGGTGGTAACTGCAGCGGTACCACTCGTTTAAAACGCATTAGGGAGGTAGGGGCGGACGGTGGTACAAGTTCGTGGCCACTCTAAGCACCGCAATTCCACAGCTGCCGCAATTCTTGCTCGTGCTTTTTGATCAGGGGCCCATCAACGCCCTCGGCGTTCTGCTCTACGCCCATCCCCGCGTGCGCGCGCTTTTGTTGATCACACGGTGTCCTTTCCTGTTTCAGTGAGGCCACTGAAGGTGACGATACTCAGCAGCGAGCACGCGCCCCTCAGCGCCAATCGGAAGTACGACATTAATTGCATGACGGTGGGTTCAAGGCCGCCGGCCATGCTCTCCTGGTACATGGACGGCAGGAAGCTCACCAATTACACGGAAAAGGTAAGGCTCTACAGCTAATTGAACGATACTACGATATCCGTCACCGCGAGCACCTTGCGAGGGTAGAGAGAGAGAGATTCTCCATGGGATGCAATTGTCGCTTATTACTAGATCTTCTACTTTACGCTATTATAACTGCCCAGGCAGCACACATGGCCTTATTGTCGTTTATTTTACTAAATTTAATTAATAAAATTTGGTACTCTACAATTTTATTTTTACTTTTCCAATTTGTTTTAATTAAAACAGACTGTTCGTTAATATTCCATTTTTAAGTCTTTTATTTATATGTACATATATGGTAACTATTGTATTATAAATAAAAATCTGTTTTCGTTACCGTTTATGTGCAGTAGAATCAGTAGGTGTTCAGTAATTTTGTTATCATTTGAAAGTTTAAATATTATAAAGCGTACAAATTTAAATATTGTATATAAGAACATACATATAATATTTCCTTATTTTTTTCATCTTTTCAAATTCTCAATTTACAAAAGCAATACAGCATGTACATAAATATCCTGAACATCTTTAACTATCTTAATACCGACGTCAGTTGGAAACTCCTAAAATTATTACGACGTTGTATATTGACGTAAGTTTGAGGTCATTATGCTGTGACAAATTGCCGTCGATATAGGGTCATTTAGACGTCATGCCGACCGTCAGTTTGACGTAACTTCTGACAAAAATGTACGTAAAAAATACGTCTATAATAGACGACAGTGTGCTACCTGGGACAAAGTGCAGTCTAGATACTTGCGACGCCTTTCCACTTTCTATGCGTTTCATGTAAGAGATATTTTCTACGAACGTATGAAACGTATCCATTCCCGACGAAGGGATAATTAATTAGTGCAAAGCACTTGAAGAATTTACTCAGCAAAAATGTGGGCTCTCGTATTTCTTTGTACAATGACTACTCCATTTCCGCGTTCGGTTTCACGTAACCGTTACGAGTGCCAAAAAACGCTCGACACTCGATACTCGTTTCGGATTCGATTGATAAAACGGTGGTAGCGCGCGAGCAAAGTTGTGTCAAAATGTTGTCGGCGGGAACGGTCGGCAGAAACAAACGACGCGATCCGTGAAATAATTTCCTATTCACCGAAGTGGAACGAACAGCAAAATAGTTGGTCGTAGTAGTTGCGCGGCTATTTCCTCCTCGCCACCTAGCCCGCGCCAGCGCTAATGGTATCATCGATAGCGAGGCGATCGATCACCATTATCTCCTCCTCGTGTTACGCCGATCTTCTATTTGTAATATCGCGTATCTCAAACGTATGAAATTCTTATTCGGCGGAACTCCTGCCTCGTCTTGGGGTCACGCCAACCTGCCGCTGTCGCGGAATGATTCAACGTCGGCGAATACACCGTCGCGTCCCCCCCATAGCGTCCACTTTGCAAACGATCCGCGAGGGGGTGATAAAAGAAATGTGATTTTTAGACATTTTGGAACATTCTAAACTAGAGACCCTATAATCAGAGACTGGCCGTAAGAGTTCATCAAATTTCCGCGAGTGAGATAGCCTACGTTTCTCTCTCACGCGCGGGAATTTGACGAACTCTTATGGCCAGTCTCTGATTACAGGGTCTCTATCTAAACATAATGGCGTGGAGAGTTGAACACTTAGAGTGGCCGCGATGAAGAAGCTAGAGATGTGGACATATCGGAGGATCCTAAAAATAACGTGGACAGCGAAAATGACTAACGCAAAGGTTCTAATGAGGTCTGACCGTCTCTCTCGAAGGAGACTCGAAATTCGCGTCCGTCTCTTCGTGTCCCAGATGCGCGCGGGCTTCTTCTTCGATCGTGCGCCGCGAAATCACTGGCATTAACGCCGGTATCGGTATTTGCATCGTTGCCATTAAGCATCCCCTCTGACACGCCATGGCGCAATTACCGGATAGCGGCGTGATGCTTTCGTGATGCTCGCGCTCTCGCTCCGACCCACCTCGGCCTCGGGCGCGAGGCCCCCTTCCTCCCTCTCGCCCTTTGAGCCTCGCCCGCTCTCCGGACGACGCGGAAACTCCTCCGTTATACGTACTCGAACTCCGGGCGTACAAACATCGATCTACGCCCTTCTTGCGTTTCCGCGGCGAAAACTCTTCCTGAAACGTGATTCTTTGACTCGCCGCGCTTCCCTCCCCGGCTTCGCCGCTAAACTGCGTTTCGAATCTCGATATACACGCCGCTCGTCTCGGGCAGTATATAAGTTTTAAAGTGTTCCGTTCAGACTGCAAGCGTACGTAATTGAATCGGTCATTCCACAAAGTGATTCGGCTCGTTTTACGAGTGAACTGAAAAAAATTTATCGGCCCCTTTCGAGATGCGCGGGCATTCGGATCGGCGATCCGATATAGTTCACATTTTTTCGGCTCTAGCGAGCTTACGATTGGTTACCGACGTGTAATTTTATATTGTAAAAATAATGTTACAGATACGGTACACTTTTTTAATACATTTTAACGTACACAATGAAACAATTCGCGATGGCACTTTCGCCCTTTTTTTCTGCTCCAATTAATCGCACAAGTCGAGCAATGATAAATGCGATTTCGAAATGACGTTAAGTAAGCCTCTTTGACCTAAGAGCAGGACGAAGTTATCCAATATAGACAGTATAGTACATGTGTAGCTATGAAGCGATGGCTACCATCCATCATCCCGCGATGTCAATAGTTCTATGACAGATCTGAATACCGAGAGAGATATATAGTAGCGAGAATAGAGCAACACGGGAGAGCGTGCACGATCATATTTTACTATTAGTTTATTATTATTGCTCCTCCCTCTATTACTTTCACGATTGAGTCCTTCGCTCATTATTACGCGAGATCGAAATCCCAGATTTTATATCAGCCGCCGACACTGTTCCCTCTGTAAACTTCAAACCGATAATCGTTAAATTTAGAAAGTTTTAATCCGGTTTGATATTTAATCAGCCTTCGTTTAGGCTTTCACGAAGGGATTCCAAATTACGGACTGGTGAAGTGAAAAATAAAGGTCGAATACTTTTTGGAAATATTTTATACGTTAATCGTTTCGTATTGAACGCAATTTTAATTTAGAGGTAAAAGTAGGCGATCAAGTCAAAAGCATCACTTTTTGTCTGGGTCGTTTCGCGCAACGATGATGAAATTGCCAGCGTGCTTGAATTCTCGTAAAGCATCGATTTATCATTATCTCTGTTGAACGCTTTTACCAGAAAATCCTTCTAGAACGCAATTCGTCGGAATGAAATCGAAACGAGCGCTGGAAAGTTAACTGTATCTGCTTCGATTGTTCTCCTCTGTCATTGTCTTATCCATGATTCTTTGGAAAAATTCACGGGGGTTTCTACGAAACTCGATTTCACGCGCGTTATTCCAACACCTTTACATTGACAAACGGCAGTTTTGTCTTCCTATTGAATTCGCGCGATAATTTGCGCAATTTTAAAGATATAAAGCCATAAAAGAAAATACGTGCAAATCGCGCGATTGCAGAAGCCCGCGATAAATTGTGACGGAAGAAACGCTAAAGAGATACGTGATCTCCGCGCGCGGGAATTTCATGTAACCAACCATTCTCTCGCCGGCTATTTCGTGCATAATCGAGATGCAGTAAAACCTTCCGAATGAAAAATGAGCGCAGGTACGCGAGAGCTCCGGTTACGCCGCCGCTCATACGCGCGGATTTTGCAATAACGATTCGCCGATTCGATCGGTGTCGCGCGACCGGCCATGATCGACGATGATCCGCTCGTGGCGGAGATCCAAAGAGCTGATATTTCCCACCGCAAATAACGATCACGTTGTTGCTCGGTCAGAGGCAGGCGGCATCCAGTTCTGACACGTTCGCGCTATCTCGCGTTATACGTCATAATATCGCGGTGTCGAATGAAGTTCGGTACCGGTAGACATATCGAGGCACGGTAAACGCAAGGGGAGAGCGAGCGATCGAGAGAGAGAGAGAGAGAGAGGGGGGGGGCGGAGTCGCGGCAAGGGTGGAAGAGAGGGTGGATTGTGGACAGTACAGTTGGCAGTGGGTGATTCGACTTTGCCGATTTATGACCGCCGCACGAATTTCGAGCCAATTTCGTTCTGGGCTTCACGTACGTACAATGCGGTCCAAAAGTTTCGATCTTTTCGCCGGGGCAATCTGCTCCGATGTGTTATCGCCCTCCGCTCGACGAGAGCGCCGTATCTTGTAACGAAAGATATCGACTGGAATGTGCCGGAGGAATCGCAAAACTGCAAGCACCCCCGGGTGGGTTTAGTTGCGTGTTATAAATTTGAGATAGCGTGATATATCAATGCTCTGTTCCCTCTTTTTAAATGATCTCGCGCTTTTACGCCACGCTTTTATTGCAGCCTATTTTCTGGGAAAATCGCTGAAACGTTGCGTGCTTTTTCGAAAACGTATTAACATGATTTTAATCGCGCACTAGAAACAATCGCAAGATTTATAATATTTTTATTACGTGCACGAAACCATTATCTCTTCCTTTATTTCTAAAGTGCAAAATTCTAAGTTCATATTGCACATGCTCTGTGCAGTCGCTCGATTTAGAACGATATAAATTCCATTAAAATGACTGATGTTAAAGAAAGATAAATGGTGGAACGACCTGACAAATACGATAAGCGTAAATGTAACCTGGCGTACATACATAGCCGACACAAGTCGTGCATTACATTTAAGTTTCCCAAAATATTGTACTGTTAAAATTCTTGACTTTGAACACTTTTAAGTATGGTGAATTTCGCGTGGTTTTGGCACGGAAAATATTTGAATGAAATTTCGTTGAAAGTTAGAAATATTTCATAAAAAAATTTTCAGACAAATTCTCTTCGTCTCTTTTTTTACAATAATTTTATAAATAATTTATTTTGATTTCCATAAAACTCATATTTCAGAGAGAAAATCAACATTCGTAGATTAAAAAAAATTTGCATAGCAACGAGATATCGGCACATTTTTTACTTGCAACTGAAATTTCGAACATCTTATGATTCAACTTAATTTAAAAAAAAATTTTGATTACGTCTTTTATTCTACATTTATTATAATATATTCTTTTAATAGATATTGTATATTATAGTACGATGTGACGGGATATAAAATCCATTAATTGTCAATGTAGAAAAATTGTTAAACGACGCAACTGGCAATTCTAATTACAGAAAATGTATTGCGAAAAAATGTTTAATTGTATTTATTGTTGTGTGTGTGTGGCATTTATAGTCATTGTAACGTAAAAAAATTAAATTTTTATATCAGTGGGCATTTCACATTTTTCTTTCTTCTACGTCTGAATGGAAATGATGATTTTCATTTCCAAATTTTAATGTACTTACTAATCCAATTATATTGCATTACAACGGATAGTTTTAACAAATCACCGGTTTACAAACGTCAAATTCGTGCCACGCACAATTGACAAACATTAAAATGCGAAGTTAATTACAATAGAACTAATTAAACGCATCGTGACGCTATTCAATTCGGAGTTGATACCGTTCCATACCCTCGATATTCCGTTAATGACCCAAAAATTTATAAATGCAATTTCATTCTGATACCATGCGATACATGATACGATTAATAAAGTTTATGGCTAATTAAGACGCAATAAACCGTCGAAAAATACACAATCAAAATTCAGTATTGCCCGCGCGTATTTAAAAAACACACGTATTAATAAACGAGCGATGCACTTTTTTTATTGGAGCTTTATATGTCATTTGAATTACTTAGCCCGATATCCATACATTACTCCGTGCTATCATTGTCAGTCCGAAAATACGAGCAAATTGCAGGTAAAGATGTTTGGACATGCAATGGTACATTCGAATCTCCAAGCAGGGTTAAAAAAATAAGAATTCTAAGTCGTGTAACGATGTATAATTCCCATCTCTTAGCGTCTCGATCCCTGCTGTTGAATAAAGAAGGATCTACTTTGAAAAATAGCCTCGATACAGTTGTGAGTCGTTAATAGCGAGAATTAATTAACCTCGCGGTAATCGCTAATTGCTCATAGGAAATAATCGTGTTTGGTGTGTTCTGATACTTGTTGCGGTCGCATATCGAGGAGTAATACGATGATACGTATCGAACGGCTCGTGTCATTATCTTGCCCGCTCGAGTTCCATCACACGAATGACGGTAAAGCGACCGCACGTGTGTATGTACAAAACATATTAATCGTAAAGAACGAGCATTAATTTAAAAACTATCACGATTCAGAGATATTTGTGATACGATTGTCCTCGATTAAGTTTCACGAAGATTGAAATGTGAAATCGTAAGCGCAGCATTAAGGATCGTCTACAATAGATGAAGTAAGCCTGGCGTGAGAGTAGGAGTAAGGAAATGAATCATTTCCATTTCCCACTCCTACTTCAGCTCTGACGCTTACTCTCGGCGAATTATAGCGCGGTTCGACCAGTGCTACAAATATTTTACAAAATTATGTCTGTACTTTAGTTTTTACACTGAAAGGTAAAGGTTAGGCTTTCGTACTTCTTACCGCTTACTTCCAATGTAGACGGTCCTTTTTTTAAGTATAATACGCGATGTTTGTGCAGGGTGTAACGAGGATCCTCACGTGTATCGTAAACAGTGCGAGGTCGCGCGCATCAAAGGAGCGATCGTGCATACACGTTTGATAATTACATGTTTTCCGACGAGACACCTGGCCCGCGTACATTTGCGTAAATACAGTAGCCGGTTTCGTGCACGTTAAAGTTGCGTTCGCGGCAAGGGTGAAATACTCACGTGAAAGCCAGATCCTATTACACCACCCGCAACGGCGGGTGATAAACGCCTCCTGGACTGACTCGTCCGGTCATTAAGACTTATCGCCGGATTAACGCTTGGCTTATAAACCCTTACCTCAAACGCATGCTGCCTCGCGCGCGAGTACGAATAATTACACCTACTAGGGCTATCCTTCCGAGGGCTACCTTTTTAGCGAAATTAGGGCTGCGCATAATTTATGAAATTGCACAAAGGCACTTAGCTTATCTCAGTGCGCGAACGCTTCTTTCCTCGTGCGAGCGGCCGTGTTAAAATGCGCGTATCGCATTTTCTACATTTATCATGCGCGATATCTGGCTTCGACACTAATTAGCGACGAAACTTTAATGAAGCGCCTGCAAATTAATTCTCGTAACAGTATGCGCGAAATATTCAATAAAATGCTGATGCCGTATCGTCGCTGACAATGAGTGGATATAGCTGCTGTTGCTGCAGATTGTTCATTTATTGTTATTCCGATTAACGAATAAATAGTATTTTGATATTAAGTATTAGCCAATATTACAGTACGGCACACGTGATTTAATTACTCGTACTCTTGCGCACTTTAAATAGGCGTGCTACGGCAAAAAATATCGGGAAAGTAATTAACCGACGCGACATAAGGCACATTAAAATATGTAATACATAATTATGATTTCAGTATCGACTATGATATTAATCTTTCATAAATCCGATACTCGAGACGCCTAAAAAATTTAATATAATATTAAATTAACAATTTTTAATATAATCTCGTGTCTCTGGAGTTGAGACTTAGGCCGCTGCAATAGCAGAAAAAAACCCCGTATTTAACATTTAAAGGATTTTGGGAAAACGGATATCAAAATGTCTGAAGCGAACCGATTTGGTTATAGTAATTTCGATTTTGAATAGTGCAGCCGAATCATTTTACCTTGCGACCGTGCTTTGCAATTCTCGTAGAAATGAAATTTTTCCATCGCTTTCGTGAAATTGGAATAGAGTTGAATTATCTGTAGAGATATACATTTTTTACATGTACAAAATATTTTAATCGATGACAAATAAGTTAATAATTGCGCTAATAAAAGGGATATTGCGATTGTTGCAGGTGTCGCGGGATGGTAACATGACGAGTTCCATCTTGTCGTTTCAGCCTACTCTGTCACATCACGACAAAGTTGTCACGTGCAGGGCTGAAAACCCTAAAGTCCACGGCGGTGTAGCGGAAGACACGTGGAAGCTGAACGTTTTTTGTAAGTACACGTTCTCGCTGATGTACGTGCAATAGATGAAATCGAACACAAACGGCGAACGAAAGTCAGAAGTTTTCCAGTGATTTCCAATTGGAACTTGGAATGATCCGACAATGGTATCCAGCGACTGTATAGATTACCTAAACGATACATTTTGTCTTGCATCTAACACATAATAATAACGTAAATTGTTTTGCTGGATATTATGAGAACATATGCATGCTATCATATGCATAATTGGAATAATTACGATCCACTGCGTATATGATATTGATATACGTAGTAAAATAAAAAATCGGACGAGGATAATATCAGATCACAAACCGATGGCTGAGGTAGACCACGAGTTTACATATTAGTAATGGCAACACGATATGCTCTGCAGAGCCAGCATTATTATCACTGATATCATTATTCATTAACACACCGTCATCAATATTATGCGAACGAACCAACAGTGCTCGATCCGTATTAAAGGATAATAACGGGCGACTGGCCATTTTCCTCTCTTACGCTTGCTGGGCGATAAAAAACGGATAAAGAATATCTCTTAGCGTATATAATAAACAGTAGAAATACATAACATATATATAATACTTTTTATTTTTATACGACTATGAAGACAAACATTAAGTCTACCGGAGATAAAGTTGTATACGTGCTATAAACATTTCTCTTTATCCGAGAAATTTCACTTAACAAGCTCCCGCTGCGAATATTTTTCTGAAAATTTTTTCCTTCGCGAGAGAGACGTAATAGATTTTAGTAGGGAAGTAGCCGGGGATGCAAACGCATTTCAGAGATTTAAATCCTAATTGTCGCGCATTAAACGCGCGCGTCAACGCGTAAAAACAAGCTGGCAGTAATTCATCAAAGCCGTAAACTCATAAGCGAGCGTCGCGCGGGTGTCGTCTCTCCGTACAATCGACACATCGGAAAATTCGCGTGCGCGGCATACGTCAACGCGCGTGCACACGTGTACATAACGGTACGGCCGGGCGACCGTGCGGCACCATACGCCGTCCGTATGTATATCGAACACGGTAAACGGGTTAAAAGCCTGGCAGGCCGAAACAAGGCCGTCGATATAGATTACGTTCGCGCAAACGCGAATGTAATCACAATAACGAGACGTCAACGACGGGGCCAAAATGGAACGTTCGGCGCGGCTGACCAACGCGACCCGATTTATTTGCCTGCCGCGGCATCTCGACGCTCGCAAATTTCAAAGTGCGGTGCGAGACAAGTTTCACTGTGCCGTTTCCGACACAAACCGAGTCGGATTCTCGTAAAGGATGATTATGTTGTAACGAGTTACAAGTTCCATTCCACGAATTTGGATATTGAAACTGAAGAGATACTTTCGTACGTTCTAATAAACCGGAGCGAGTAAATTTAGATAGATCTAATTGCGATGTCCACTTCAATTATTATTTTCCTCGTTAAAATTAGTGCTTGCACGGACAACCACTTGCGTTTACTTATGCAACATGTGCAATACGATTGTCTCAATGACCTATCAAATAATTAGAACCAAGTTTCCTTGAGATAATTGAAGCTAACTACTTGAAGATATCGTTGTCTGGTTTCAAAAAGATTCGCGAAACAATCAGGAATTCGCACAGAGTGTAGGGAGGTCCAGGTTCAAACCCTGGCTGAGGTAATATTTTTCGCAATGAATTTCTTTAATTAGAATTTGCCAGCCGTGGGTCGTCATGCAATTTTCTACATTGGTCAATCAATGTTTTCCTTTTTCTTACAGTTGTCCCAATTCTGCACCTTCAGCTCGGTTCGAACATGAACCCGGATGACATCGAGGAAGGCGATGATGTATACTTTGAATGCAAGGTTCATGCGAATCCGGGTGCCTACAAAGTCGTGTGGAAACACAATGTAAGTCAAAAATTGTCGAGTATACCGTACGCGAGATACGAAATACAAAAGCTTTCTGTTGTGAATACATCCGTATTCGTGTATACGTCGTTAAAAATTTTAAGCACGGCAATGCGAATAAGCCGATACCGAAACTTTTGTGCGGGACGGAATCGCGGATAAAAATGCATTATTCGAATTGGGTAAAAGCCCAGGTTTGAGTATGAACAATGACCCCTGGATTCTCCCGAGTGATATATTTACGCTTGAATAGTTGCTAAAATTGTTGGCTCAGAATAATGGCTATTGCAGCCGTAACCGACAAATAGGAAACAAACTTTCCGCATGCCTAAAACCTCCTTTCCTACCTCTCTAAATATTACCCAACTTGCGAAACAGCGTAGCGCAAACGTAACGCAATTACGCAAAAGAGTATCCTTTGATATAATCTTAAGTGCATCTATAAAATTAGCTCGTCCTTTGCCTTAATTAAATTTCTATTTATATGCAGCGGAGACGTGCACTTTTACTGACCATTTCGCGACTGTGTTTACTCGAAACGATCGTAACGTGATTTTCCGAATGGAATACGTGGTTAATAAATTTCGTTTCAATAAATTTTATCTCGAACGCATTGCGGTTTTCCTTTGCACGCGGCACACGAAAGCTTCATCTTCAACGTTACTCGAAGACCGGCTCCGAAGATGCACTAGTCGACGCTGAACGCTGCGCCGATATAAACGGCGGTATAATACTCGCTCGCTTCGCCGACGCCGTTTTTACATCGACGTTATATTCGCAGATCTCATTACGCGTCGTTTCTCCCCGCTTTTCGCCGACAATGTCTATTCACGTTTCGCATCCTTCCTATCTCCACGTCGTCGGCGTCATTATGTATTGTTTAATATAGTACGTTATATTATGGCACGGTGTCCATAAATGCTTTGTAAATACGCGAAACGTCCAACTTTACCGTCGTCGTCCGTTGGCGCAGCAGTTAATTAACTCGATATTAATAAAACCCCATTTAATTAAGTAAAATCCCATCCCCGTCGTCCCGGGCGAAACCCATCTATCGCAAAGCTACTTTCACCCTCGACGAATTTCACCTGGACAAAGGCTCTAAATTATTTTGCGCTCGGTGAAATCGCGGTTTGCGCCCCTTTGTCTCGACACGCTCGAGTATCGAGTAAAGCGGTTGATCCGCGCACATTTGTACGCACGAGAATAAGTCGCGAGTTTCCGGGGACAATGACGATGGTATTGTGCCATGCAGATTGGAAATAATAAAGACACCAGCCGAGAGAAATAGCGAAATGGCATTCCGATCTAATCGCGAATGCGCATTGTTCCAGGGCAACGTGATTCAGAATAACGCGAAGAACGGCGTGATAGTCCAGCAATACGATTTGGCACTCAGAGAGGTGAATCGGTCCCAGGCCGGAAATTACACCTGCGTCGCCAGCAACGTCGAAGGCGACGGCTACAGCAACATCGTGGAGCTTAAGATCATGTGTGAGTATCCCGCGCCATCATTGATATTGCACATGTATATACGCGTGTGTGTATAGCGCAAAAATGTATATCCGTCGCGCGGCAAAAATGCAGATAAAGGTTGCACGCCGACGGAAACCCGTTGCATCGTTTGTACGAAAAAGGAATCTCGTTTCGAGCAACTTTAAATCTTCTCCCCGACACTGCTCGACCTTCTTTGCCGAAAATAACGTTTCTGCCTCCCCTCGCTCGCTCTTTATAAAGCCAGCTCGATTACTCCGTTTTCCGCCCGAAATCCCCGTAATTATTTTGCCCGTCAAAGCGGTGCTCAACGTCGCAAATATTTCAACGTAATACGATGTAAACGACACGGCAACGCAACCGATGACTGACATTTAAATAGCGACGTTATTAAGCGCCTTCCAGGTGACTTTGGGGGAGAATCGCGACAGCCTAGCCGCGTAATTGGTCACCGGGTTTACGAGGCTTCGGGGACATTATTCGTGAATAAATGTCAAATATCAAGATGCCGGCATGATTATTCATTAAAAACACGTTGAGAGGGGGCGCAGGGATGAACGATAGGCGAACGGGGAGAGGAGAGGGGGGGTGGCGGCAGAAAAATAGGACGATCCACAGCGAGCCAACAAATTATTCCGAACCGGCAAACTGGGATTCCCCCATGCCCCCCGTTCGACCTTCGTTTACTCACTCCGCCGCGAAAAATGGGGAAACTATTCAAGCGAGCGAGCGAATAATGCCCATCGATCTCCCCTCGAAAAGCCAGGCGGTGGTCATCCCTTCTTCGTCCCGCGCCCCTCGCGCTTTTAATAAATGCGCGTAAACTTCTCGGTCCTCGATCACCATATCGTATGTTGCGGTTGTTCACTGTAAGAACAGGCCGTTTTGATTTATCAGCGATAAATGTTTATTTTTACCCTCGAGCCGCACGTCTTGGACTTTGAATGTTTTTCGAGCCGCCAATGCGTTAAGGTCTAAAAACGTTAAGTCGAATTGAGGGGCGAGAGAAACGTGGGGCGGTATTTATAGTCGGACCTAAGACAGTCTTGGATTCATCCAAAGATGTACGGAACATTTCATCGGCTAGGGAGAATCTAAAGATGATCTCGGGGCAGTCTTGAATATAAGATCCGACTATGCGTACTGGCCGTAGAGTTTCTCCGAAAGTTCGATAAATCGAAAATATAACGAAAGTCCAGGGGGTTCATCTTATAATAAAGCCGCTCCCGGTTCGTTCTCTCGGCAGACAAACCGATCTGCGTGCCGGATCAAAAGCGAATCTACGGGGTGGCGAGGCACGAGGACGCTCATGTGATATGCAGAGTCGAGGCGTATCCGCCGCCGGACAGCTTCCGCTGGGCCTTTAACAATACGGAGGAGCAGGAGGAGGTGCCGCAGTCGCGTTACAAGAACTCGACCAGACATACCCAGAGCATCCTCGAATACCGGCCGGTCACGGAAATGGACTACGGCACCGTGCTCTGCTGGGCGAGCAACACGGCCGGCCAGCAGAAGAATGCCTGCATATTTCACATCATTCCTGCGGGTATGTAACGCACACGTTGTATACCGGCAATGCCCCCGCTAGGGCGACCTCTCGGAGTCGCTAAGGATTTCCGGGAAAAGTTCCGGGAAGCGTTCTGCGAATCTGCATGCCGAGCGTTTCGCAACGCCGCGCCGGAACCGCGTTGTCTGTTGCTAAATCAGTATCATCCAAATAATTTTCATTGAGACGACGGGAGGGACGGAGAATTGTAAACAATGTTAATGGCGCGTGCAGGCAAACCGGAAGCCCCGTACAACTGCACGCTGACCAACCAGACCACCGAATCGCTCTCGGTGGAATGCACCGCTGGTTTCGACGGTGGTCAGCCTCAACACTTCCTCCTTGAAGTGTTCGATCAGCACACGGGGGTCCTACAGGCCAACGTCACGTCCAGAGAGAATGCGGCTTTCACCGTGCAGGGCTTGGAGCCGGGCAAGGTACTGAATATGATTCTGTACGCGGTGAACGCGAAGGGGAGGAGCGAGCCGACGCTGCTGGAGGGTTTCACGCTCAAAGTCGCCGAGAAGCAGACTGGTAAGTTGTGCCAGAAATATTCCCCTTATTCCGACAGTGTCGCGAAGATTGACAACGAGGTTCTTCCGCGTTACTTCGAGCGACGAATGCAATTACGTTGCTTGGTATAAAAGTGTAAGGTAAAAAAAATAGCGGCGGGCAGACTTTGTAGAACGAAACGACGATTCGTCGAGAAATCCTTATGTTTCCGCGGAGCACGATGTCCCGCACAGGTCCGTAATTGACGTTAGTTCGATCGAGATTAATGATGATTGACAGTGTCGGAATTAGACAACCGGTCGCCCCGGGCCTGACGCTATCGATCGCATTCCGCGTCGCCGAAATAAGCAATTCGCTAGGAGTATACGGACGAATTACCGGCACAGCGTCGCTCCATAAATTATGAGAGTGGCCGGAGGACGCCGGGGCTAATCGAATTAGCGAAATCGAACGGACCCGCGCGGATTGGTCCGTGTAACGTTTTAATCCGCTCATCCGATCCGAATCCCCGAGTCGGACTCGATATACCCGGCCGGTCGTTTCTCGCAGCTAAAGACCACTTGGACCATACGAAAGGTTTCACCGCCAAAATTGAGCATCTGGCTCGAGAAATTCAATCGGCGCGCGCGCACACGGACACACTCGCGCGCGATCACCTGGCTGGATATTACGCAAGTTATGTCTACGCGACGTGTGCGTCGGTGTATGTGGATTGTTCTACGGAACGGCCGTCCGCCCGCCGCGAGTGGTAATCTATTCCGACGTTTTCCAATCCACTTGCACGAAACGGTTTCGGCCAAAAATTGGTCACCAGGCAGTTCCGCCGGTGCGTAAAACGCCACGGCCGGATTTACCTCGCGCTCCTTCGATACCGTGGCTCGTTTTCCCGATTCGATACCCGCGCCAAGTAGGCAGGACCCCTTCCCTCTCACCCCCGTGTCCCAGTAAGGACTGGGGAGAAATTCCGCCCCGCCGGGGAGACGGGAGAGATGGATAATATTTGCACGGTACAATTAGTCAGAGACAGGTACATCATGAGTAATTACGAGAATTAATCTCGTCGTCCACCTGTAATTACGAAAGTGGGAAAGATCTATGAGAGTAACGCGGAACTTTCCGTCCCCGCGAGCGATGTAATCGCCTCGGCGAACGTCACCGCGCGGAGCGACACGCCGACGGAAACCCCCGCGCGATTACTCGCCGTAAAATCACGGAAAATTGATATAACTTTACGAAAGGGGTTGATCGCGGAGAGAGAACCCCCCCTCGGCAAACCTCGCCCTCCCGCGAGCGTTCGTTTGCATACGACTCTCGAGTCTCGCGTTCGACGCGGCCGGGCCGCGCACCAGACAATATATCCCGCCGCAGAGACAAAGGGATCTCGTAAACGGGGGCGACGGGGCGGGGGTGGTACGGTCGACTTACGCGCCCGTAAGAAAGGCGAGCCGCGCGCGCTGGCTGAGCCACCGCCGACGAATCCCACGCGGTTGATCCCGGCCCGGACGCCCAAGAGTGGATGGATCTCGTCGAATCCATCCCTCGCTCGCCCGCCGCATTCATTCCGTAGATTTCTGGGCGGCGGGATCTCGACCGACGCGGAGAGATTCAGGATCTACCGCTCTCCCCTAGAACGGATATGCTCGACCCGGGCGCACATACACGTGTGTGTATATGCGCGCGCGCGTGTATATATATGTATATATTATATATATATGTATATGTGTATATATATCGGGCCTGGGACGAATTTACAAGTGAAATTGCTCTCTCGGTCAGTTTCCACGGTGCGATTCAGGCGAGTGCACCCGTCGCGCCGCGCACTACCCGGTAGTGTATATACACCGGGTATATAAAGCGTACGTATGCGGGCGGAGTAGTCGCTTCGAAAATCGATCCTCTCGCCCGCGAGAGCCGGACGAGTGTGAAACTTTAATAAAATTCCGGGATCAGCAGCCTTGCTCGTCGTCCGCGCCACCGTCTCCGCCTCCGTCTCGCGCCTCCCGCGCGCGGAGACCGCGCCGCGATTTCCCTCGTCCGCGCGGCCGTGCCCCAAACTGGAGCGCGACCAGGAAACAGCGCCTCTGAAATCTCGTCCTCCGGCCCCTCCCGATTTCGCGCCCTCGGCGTGAAATACAAATTGGCACGTGGCGCGTGATGCGTGCGACCCGCATGCACAGCCTCGCGCGGGGTCTCCCTGTGGCACGGATACACCGCGAAGAGAACCGACCCCCTCTCTCGCCCTCGATCTCTACCCATACAGTTTTTAATTTGATCGATCCAGGGGACGGGGGTTGGGGAGGGGAGGGAAAAAAGCGAGAAGAGAGCGCTCTATTTCCGCGATACGATCAAATACTCGCGACGCGGACGGGCTTAATTCCATTTACCGCGTACGCAAACTTCCGCGATGTGCAAATTTCCGGCTTACGACTGCACCGTACCATATCGCGCGCGGTTCGGCAAATATTATTGGTGGGAGTGTGTATATTAAAAGTTCTTTCGCGTTACGGAAAATAAACAAGGTACCCCACGGGACAAAAACATAATTTGTAATTCGTCACGCGCGGTATCATCGGCATTTAACGGTGGCGTGGCGCGATGTTTGTTTTGCAGCTAGTCGAGTACGATTTTGCGGCGTACGACATTTCCCGCAGAAAGTCAATCAGCGGCCCGGCGCAATAACGATTGTCGCGGATAAAACTAACAATTTGAATCGATCGAAATCGCCAGATCAACCGAATTTTCGCAGCAACAAAGCAATGGCGAATGAAAGAAAAACATTATCAGTAAATATCGCTCCTGTTTACCTCCTTCTGTAATCCAATAGCGTTCAATGCAATTTATTATCCGAACGAAACGAGCATCCTTGCGACTGAAATGGCAAACTGCTGCCTGTATCGTATAAAGTGGCTTTGCTCATTTTATTATTCCAATATTTGTGAGTCTTTAGTGATATCTGCAAAACCTTGTGATTGAAAAATCTCACTCACAGTCGGCAAGTACGAAAAATGATCGGCTGCGACTTACAATTTTCTAAAGTCCACTCGTAAAAAAAAAATGCGCGACACGCGAAATTACAAGCAGCACTCAATCCCGAAATCCGACGCGAATTATAGATCGCTCGAAACGGGCTTTTACGAGGAGACTGCAGGACGCTGCTGGAACAAATCGCCGAACAAAAACACGTCTCTGAAAATCAACTAAAGTTAAGAACGGAAATAGGGGAAAAGCAGAGGTGACGATGGAAGGTAGATGGCGGGTAAATATCATGGGTGCCCCGGTGCACTTTCGCCTTGATTAAAAATTAACGTGCACTTTAGCTGTGCATCGGAGCACGGAGTAAAAACACTCGGTCGCTCGTGACTAAAACGAGTGGCAATTACGAGCGATGTCTCTCAGGAGGGTCCGAGCTAAGGAAAGAGATTAAAAAACGGACGGGCGGAGCGATAGCGCGCGAGTGTAGCGCGGGCCACGGGAAGACGTGGCGGAAGACGGCCGCGTGGAAAATTAAACGTCGCCCGGGAGCGGTGTTTAACCGTGGAGAGATATCAAAAGGATTCGAATTCATTAATCTTAGAAATGGTAGGTAGGTAGGTAGTCAGATGGCTCCATTCTCGCGCGCGGGCCAAATATCTCGAATCTTTTTACGGCTTAATGCGACTTTAACTCGTTTAACCCGTTTACCCTCGCAGCCCGTCCGGAAAATTGTCCCGCCGGGCGCACCCCCGCCGGTTTATTGTTTCGGCCGAATGAAATATTTTCGGGACACAAAAGCGCCGCGGAACACAAGTATACGAGGCGTATTCGCATTAGTTGCCGAACATACTGCCGCCCGCGCTCGCCGTATCGTCGTAACTTAATTTCTTTCAAGCATCAGAGCCCGAAAAAGGACTATTTTCTTTTCACTTAATAAATTTATTGTTAGGGCTCTGTCGATAAACATTCCAGTTAATGAGCAGAAAGGGGCAATGAGAAGCAAACACTCGTAGTTTCTTTATATAGTTGCGTTGAAAATGTGCGTTTCAAAAAACATCTTACACAATGCACAACGGGCTCACTTGCATACTATGGAGTAACAACTTTCTTCCCTAATACCGTACGAAGTATTCGGCGTTCTCTTATGTACTACAATGTGCGCACAGCCTTCGATGTCCACCACCGGGTGAGATCGTTGATTGTCATATAGAGCGACATTCGTTTTGTGTTGCAATCATCATTTGTACAACTCAAGCTCCTGCTCTTAGTGTATATTTCTTTCTTTCTTTCGTTTAATTATTAACGTTGCGATACAAGTAATCTACTTTGTTATATGTTATATGTCATTGAAAAGGACCACATTGGTTGATCGAAGCGTTCGACTAGTTCAGTTTTATTAAGTGTTAAATCTAATATTACATCCGCACCTAACACCTGGGCGTTCGGCTCTTATTGCCCCTTTCCACTTGTTAACTTGAATATCTTCTTTTTGTTTTCAATGTAAACCCCTTGACGTCTCAATGTCCGCGCGAGCGGAGAGAAAGCCTGGCATCGACGTACTTGCACGAGAGCAGTGCGCGTTTTGTTCACAGGTACTCCGGTGCCCTTCGAGTTCACCCCGTTACTCGGGAGCCTGATCGGCGTGGTCGCCGCACTCCTGCTCATCACCGTCGCCATCCTGGCCGCCCTGAGAATGAGGAGCGAGAGGCGGGCTCAAAGGCCGGGCGATTTACCTCTAAAGAAGGCCACCGCACCGAGTTCGGAGGACCTTTACGACGCGGACGACAGAAATCCGGACGTCGTGCCGACCAACAAAGGTAGGGGGGGCTGTCTTTGTGCAGCGAGAACGGTGAATGGTTAATAAAAGAGCGCGGCCGTGGAAGTGCTTTGTGCCGCTCGAAAAATTGCACGACGTTGATGAAACATATCACGCCTGCCAGTTTTGCTGCCGAACTGTTTAATATTTGCGTCGTTTGACGCGCGCTTTATGCGGGAAATACGTAGGCGCATAAATATAAAAAATTTTTCGGAAGTATCCGCTGCGCGTATCCCCCGACGCGGAGCGCACGGTTGCGAGAATTCGGACAATGCACGAAATTATTTGGCCGCGTAAATCGCGTGTAGTAACGCGATGCTCGCTGTATATAGCGGCGAATAACGCGTAACCCGTATCGCGGCAGCGGATACGTCGATCGACGCACGCCCGACGCGGCGTTTCGCCCTGAAAATTTTAAACGTATGCGTCCCGCGTTCCGCGACTAAAGACGAGGTGTAACGCGATGCAAGTTCACACCTACTGGCACGCTGCCTTTTGAATAGTAACGCGAAAACTTCCACTCGTATGAAACAAATTCCGTATTTTTATCGCGAGTACCCGAAGGGTTCGCGGCTGTACTTTCGGTTTAAGGACAGTTCATCGGCTGTAGCGTTTTTGCCCACGTTCGACTTTCTTTCCGTACCGCGCGACCGTCTCTGTACGTCGCGTAAATCATTTTAGCGTAAATCATACACACTGCGCAATTAACGCAGCTCTTATGTGTATACACCAAGGGTGCGATTCTCGAGTTGCTTTGAAAGAAAAACGTATGCGACAATCTGCTCTTACCGAAAAGTTAAAAGTCGATTGGCTAAAAACCATACGAATAGCCTTGCAACTTTTCTATAAGAGCAGAATTTTCGCATACGTTTCTCCTTCGAATGAATTCAACAATCGAGTCCCTGCACGCTTTGGGAAAAACGAGGATCGAACAATGTTGCCTTTGTGAACGCTTTGAAATATCGTCGGATGGAGAATTTCGGATTACAATTACGTATAAACGATACCGCTACGTATCCCTATCTTGTAATCAGGGTTGGGAAAGTTACTTTGTAAGAGTATCTAGTTACAGTTACTAAAAAAATAACGAATCGAATTTTTTAAAATCGAACAGACATACAGATAACACTATTAATAGCATTTGGTCCTAATTTGAAGCAAATACGTAGGAAAATCGATTTACCGATAAGCGTCCTTAAAGCCGAAGATGTTACGCAAACGGTCGAGAAAAATGAGATACAACGACGTCGAGAGAAACTCGATTTCGTGCCGTCGATAATAACAAAGTGCCATAAGTCCAAATTGCACGTGGGAATAATGTTTCAGCTTTCTCTCCTTTATCCTCTGTCTTTAAAATTAGATAATACTAGGCGCTTAATTACTCTCATCATATGAACGAGATGGTGTTCGGTTATCCCACTTTTCTTTGCGTACGCTTTAGCAAATTTACCTGAGAAACACCATTTGGATTGTAATTAAAAAGAATCAGCTGCGCCAAAATGAATTTCCTAACTGTTTAAATTCTCTTGTTCCTCCTTTTGCTCTATCTTTATTTCAATAAAACAATTTCGTATGCGTTTCTCTTAACCTTTTTCAATCTCGTGATTTTATAAGCTACACATCTTCAAATGGGATATTTGAACGGTGTATATTTTTATTTTTTAATATAACAAAGTTAAATGATATTCGGCTGGAGTGATATTAAATCACGCAGAAGTGCGGTTTTTACTCGAATCGAATTTATACGGGGGGGAAAAAAGGGAAAAACAAGAAAGGAAACGAGGCAGGGTTAACGTTGCCGTTCCGGGGGTTTGACGTTTGACTCGACATGGAAATTTTATCAGCTACATTGCCCGCCGCTGGCTTTCAAGCGTAATATCTGATTGACAGCGATCGAGAACACTTGACCAAGTGTACTCGAGACCGAAAATTCAGCGGACTCTATTGCGAACGCGCCGCGATTCGTTAACAGCAACGCGTAGCGCTATGCGTCATTACATCGCTCGCAGTAATACCGCGGGAACAGCACTGGCGAACGCGGTTATGGTTGAGTATACAGCTGGTAACCGTAGAACTTAACCCCGAACTTGTTAATAAATTACCCGACCGATTACGAGAGAGACTTGTTCACCGTGCTCGCTTATGCGAATCCGATACGCAACATTCGAATAGTTGCCATCGCGCGGACGATTGCTTTGTTATATCTACAACACGAGGAAATTCTTTGCGCTCTTTTTGACGTCGAGTTTTATTCACGATCTCTTGAACACGCATTTTCTCGCTTTTTCGACGCACTTAATGCAATATCGACAGCGAGTGTTTCTAGGGAAAAAAGAAAGCGAATTATTTCCTTCATAATTATTGGACATTTTGTGTTGATAATTGAGACCGAAATATATTCGGGACGCCAATTTGTTGTCTGAACGAAATATACGTATAATGTTAACTTAATGAAGAGAATTACTCTGGACGCGATATTACTTAGTTAATTATTTAATCACGGTCGAAACGATATCTGATTATGTACATATTACTATTTAATTAACATATCGCATTAGCATACTGCTCCTCGATGAATTAAGCCAGGTATCGATACATTAGTAATGCCTTGTAGTTATTAGTTTATTACGATAAAGTTCAGTACGTCATCACGATGTGAATTAATGATTTAACTAGTTTAATAGCATAACGAACACGTATATCGCGGTTTTCTTTTCAATGAATGATCCAGCTCTATGAATAATTTGCATTTTGCAACGTCTAATTAATTCTTAATGAGATAGATTAAATCAATAAAGTATCTTGGAATTAGCCGTTATTATTAGCTTATGACGTGCGGAGGAACATATTATATTTTTTATTTATATTTTTTGTGCACACATATGTGTATGTATATACACGATTTATATCAATTATTTAAGAACCAGGGGAAACCATTTATATTCGCCCTATAGTAAAATAGGTCAGGAATACATTTCTATTTTTGATAAATGCCATACAACTTGACCACGTTATTTGAAAAGTTCACGTTTACTTGCGAGTTCTAATCGATATGTCAAGATACTTTTGAGAAGCAGACGTGAACTTTTCAACGAGACCTAAGTCGATAATATCTTGCTGCGAAACAAAGTGGCAATTTTTCACGTGCTTGAAATCAAAGATTCAGATTATCAGCTGACCGGCTCGACTTCCGGCACACCGTTGGCAACGCAAAACACACCGGATGGTCTTCCACCGTCGTCCCTTCCGACCCAGCAGACGAATAATCACCTGCAAGGACTTCCCGCCTATTCGCATAACGAATATACCAACTATCCAACCTTGCCGGTAAGTAGCACCTCGAAAGTTTCCTAATTTCCTTGACCTTTCATATCGGCGAAAGAACCATATATCGACCGATACTATAGATATTTGGCCACAGTTTGAAAATTATTAATTGCAAAAATGTATATATGAACGTTTTGTTAAGATAATGCCAAATGTGTGTGATTTAAAATAATAGATTAAGTATAGCAGACGTGAAAATATTAAGATAAATGAAATTTCTCGTATACTATTTATAAAAATGTATATGAAACTTTTGTAAAGTGCATTGATATCAAATGCGAGGTTTAAATTTCAAAATTCGAAATGACAGATGCAATATGACGGGCAGGAAAATGAAAATTTCATCAAAATCTCATAAAAATGCATATATAAAAGTTTTACGGTCATTGATGTCAAATATGATTAAATTTCAAATTGACAAATCCAGCATGGCGAATACGAAAATGGGGAATGTCATTGAAATTTCATAAAAATGCATATGTTAAGGTCTTTCAAATCACTGATTTATGTCCCTTCTCCCGTGCATATCCATAGCTCCATAGAAATAAATAACTGAATAAATATGATATATATTTGTGTTTGTGTTTATTATGTTATTAATAAATGTTTTATAAATTGTATTTTTTGTGTTGATTATATTGTATCAGTATTCCGACTTCTTTTATTTTTCTAACTCACCGTGCGTTTATTTCTTTTTCTCATTAGGTTTCTCTGTTCCATCGGTCGTCAATCGCGTAAAATTGCAAGACGTTATATTTTATATTATACACTACTTTATTTTGATATCAATTGTCTTAATGTTACTATATTTTAATATATAAGATATAATGTAGGAATTGAATAGCGTATTATAATCGCACGGAACACTTTAGTGAATAGCCGCCAAATGCGAAAGCCAATTCTCTAACAAACTCTAACAATTCCCTTCAGAATCTATGTTAAATTATACTTTGTTGTCCCGCTCGGCACAACTATATGCCGTAGTATAGTTGCTATAGCCATTACGTGTAAATGGATGTTCTGATTTCATGAGAGGGAAATGAATGTAATACGAACCGCTTGCAGCAAAGAGAGACTTTAAACAATTAAAGTCGATAGTTTAAATCACGAGAATTTCGTTAGTCAAGCAAGCGAAGGACGTTTTAATAAAGTTAATAGGTTCGTCCAATGAGATGGGAAACTGAGGAAGTGAAGTGCAAAGAAATGGAAGAAACGAAACAGTTGGCCGAATCGTACGGCCGTTGTCGTACCGTCGCGTCGTTTTCCCTTTTCCTTTCGAGCTTCGCGAAAAGCTTCAGCCAACGTTTTCAAGAAAGTCCTCCAGCGGTGTAGTTTGAAATAACAGTATCCATCCGGGGAGGATGGCGGTGCGTAAAGTTTCCACCGGAAAGCAACGCTTCCAGCAGTTCGAAACTAGAAAATTGCACTGTCCACGTCCCTTCTCGATTTTGGGAGACATTCTGAGGTCGGAGAAATTCCAACGCTACGATTACAAATAACGATCTCTTCGAAATGGAATTATTTTGTGCAACGCGATTAACCGACGGGTCGTAAACGCGAAGAAAGAAATTTACATTCGTAAGCCGCGAGGACGAACGGTCGGAATCGAAATATCGCGCTCTCCTCGTTAAGTTCGCGCGGGCTGCCTTTCAAATTCTCTCCGATCTCCTCTTGAGTTCCTTTCGTCACGATTCGCTGAAACTTCACCCTCAATTTCACACCAAATTAATTGCTAATTACCGCGGGGATCTAAAGTTCTGTTAGTAAAACCTCGGCAGGAACAAAACTCCAGAGTGGAAAACTTTGATTATCGCTAAGGATTTTCGTATTCCGTTTCCCCCTTAATTGTTGCTTTTCCTTTAAATGCCAATTGTTGAAATCTTTCCGCTGAATGTGAAAACGTTTTCAGCATTGGCGGTATGGATGATTATCAGCGTTGAATTCCTCGTAGCCTCAAGTACCCGGAAAATTGTTGGAGTTGGCTAAATCTCGATGAAATATAGATTTCCATAGAAAATATAGACAGATGGTGGTAAAAGGCGGCACAAGAGCCAGCTTGCGCTTCGAAAATCTATGGAACTCGTGATTTCTTCTTGATCCTTTCCATGATAAAATCCGACGAGTTTGGCTCGCTCCCGCGAACAACTTCGTCTACGTCGTACCTTTTCCCCAATGTTCCATCGCGAGGAAACATTCCCCGCGTTGTTTTGCGTCCAATTTATGGGGAATGGCGTCGGGCACTCGAGGGTTCGCCGTTCTAAACAGTCGAAGGAACTCTCGCCGTCAAAAGTTTCCGTAATACGAGCCAACTAGTCCAGGCCGGTCCCTTAGGAATATTCAGGAGTGAAAATTTCGCAAGTTAGACCCGTCCGTATTATCTAAGTCCTGGGACTAGCGAAAACGCGAGGCGAAAACTCGTTTTCTTAGAAACGCTTTGGCCCTATCGCGAAAGTTGGCCGTCTCGCGGACAGGGGATTATTTAAATGTCCGAGCGTACGCGTCGCGGTATAATGGCTGCATTTACTTTGGCGGATTATGCCCCGCGCACACATCTATAAACCAACGCTAATGTATTGAAATTGGTTTAATCTCCTGTTACCCACGTGTCATTAGACATCCGAGCGGACTTGTTGCATAATACGCGGCAGATTCGATCGATGAAAACAATACACGTACTTAATCCCTAATCGGATTCAAGGCTCATGTAGAACCCGGCGATTATCGTATGTTTCGATGCACCTCATTCAATTGGAGTTAGGAGAAAAGTGTCTTTCGCTGTCGCATAGCTTACTCAGAACTACAAGTATGCACAGTTATGTTCCCATCAACATTTTAGCCACTTAGCTAGATGATCCATCGCTACCCAGTAAACACAGATGTAGCATTTACATAACATTACTAGATATATCACGTAACCAGTTACGTAACATAGATAGTAACTGCTGCGAACCGTCTGTTTGCCGGGTCTATAAATTAATTAACCTCGTCTTGCTAAAAAGGCCAGCGAAATTTCCTTTTACGACACGGTCCCTCTCGCTCGCGCGTCCGAACGGTCTTTGTGCAACGCGGCCCAATTTTCCTCTTTCAGTTATCCGGGGAGGTGACGTACGCCGAGCTGTGCCTAGCGAGACCCACCACCCTGTCGACCCTGGCGACCGACGCCAAACTGGCTAGTCTCGGCGGCGGAGTTGGCGGTCTGAGTGGTCTTCAGGGTTACGGCGGCGGTCTCGGGGTGATCGTGGGCGGCAAGCCGTACACGAAGGAAGCCACGGTCTACGCCTGCATCGACCACAACGCCAGGCCGCCGAAACTGGACGTCCCCAACGCGCCGTCATGCGCGACCACCCCTCTAACGACGGCGAACGTGCTCCAGGATTCCACCGTCGCCACCGTCATGAGCGGCAAGCAGCACCACCCGACGAGAGAGGTGGTCACCGTCCGCACACCCCTGATCTCGACCCAAGAGAGCTGCGTATAGGGACGCGATTCCGACGCGCTCAACGTCAACGAGTACTACGTCTGATATGGCCGCCGGCTCGTGGCGATCGTGCGCGTCTTCGTGGTGCGCGACCTTTCGATTCCTGGACTTGCGCTGCTCTCCCAGGTAACGTCCTCGAATTCCCGGGAAAAGGTATACCTAATGTGAATTATGAGTTTCGTCCGAACGCGAGGCAATCACGCGCACGTCGAGCGACGTGATCGCTCGTCTTCAGACGTTACGGGCTTTCGTCCGACGACGAGTGGCAGCGCTCGTGTCTGAAACGGACGAACTTTCTGATCGTGACTGACGACGCCGTACAACGAGGAAAATGATCGGGTAGCCGCCGCTTCGGTAAGACTCACGTGAATGCACCGAGGATAATAGAACGAAAGAGCTAGATGTCTTTGTACCGCTACCTACTTGCACGGTTTGCGATCCTATCAAGGTAGCTAATGATACGAACGTTCAGGACTGACCAAATAATCTTGAAGAATACATATCGAGAGATTCCAATATCGGATAACGTGCAGCAACCAAATTCATTCGTTTCGACATTCCATTGTGTTCCGAGTACATATGTCATATGAAAAATCTACGAAAGAGATATATCAAGTTTATCACTGCCCAATTTTCAGATATTCCATTTAGCCTCGGCAAGACATGACGAAAGTACGCCAGAACAGTTTAGTAAAATTTTAAAATGAATTCCGTGACCAACAGCATTTTTATTGAAACAATGCTGGATTTTTCAGAAAAAAAAAGACATTTACACTCCAGATTTATATCATAATTTACATCGTAATAAGCCAAATAAGAATACGTGTGTTGATGTATTATATTAACACGATACTGGTCGAAAACGTAGCACTGCTGGTCGCACGATTGCGAAATGAAATTTTCATAGGAGAGCATCACCATACGTGATGTCATCGTTTTTTGATTCTGAAAACATCGGCGTCTGAAAATCTACGAATATTTATCCGAGATCCCATCGATTGACTGAATGGCCGACGGAATGGAAAGAAACATGTCCAAAAAAAAGAACCTAGATTTCCGCGTTCCACGTATGTTCGTGCCGCGAGAGGAAAAATCGATGTACCTATGTCTCGTAACGGCGAATGTAGATTTTCTATCCCGAGAGTATACTTTGTATTACAAAGTGAGTATGGGGATAAAGAAGATCGTCGCGTTGAGTGTATTTTCGTAGAATGGCGCGTTTTTATCGACGATATGCTCTCTCCGTTTCTCTCTCTCTCTCTCTCTCTCTCTCTCTCTCTCTCTCTCTCTCTCTCTCTTTCTTTTTCTTTCTCTTTCTCGGAGTGTCGTATCGCGTCGATTATGTCGCGCCGAGTGCAACAGTAAATTTCGGGAGAAACGGAGAACGGAGAAGATCCGCGCGCCGCGTCGAGAAAGATCGACTTATTTCCGCGAAAATCCGCAAAATATTTCCGCGCCGCGAGCCGCGACGCGAAACAAGCGCGCCGTATAAAGCGCAGCAGTTACGAAAATCCGACGTGAAGATTTTCTCAATGTCGGACACGTTCTCGTCCTTTTTCCGTTACCATCTGATTTTATTCCCCGTTGAAAAATACAATCTTGCGAGCAATTCGATTTCCGGTTTTTATTGCAACGACGTTGTAAATAAGCGCTATTCGATCACGCTGTTGTTCGATCGATCGATCGATATATTTTTCCGAAGACACACGTATAAAATGAACCTTACTCGTACGGGACGTAAAACTGGCACTTAAAACTTAAAACTCCAGCACGAAATTTCGGGATAAAGTGTCACGTGAAGACTGATTTTATTAAATCTCGACGTATCGACGTTATTGAATTATTTACAGTGCGCCACACGCTACCGGAAACTTTCAAGGTAAGAGGAATTTCGCCAACTATGAAATTAGCCGGACTATCGATCTTCCCTTTCGCGGCCCGAGCCCGTTCTTTATCCTTCCAGCGTTACAACCTTCTAGTCTATTCGCGCGGCACGTGAACGGAGATGATATTCGCGCGTGGAAACTTTAGCGAGCGTCGAATTTTAACAATAATGGAGTTTCTTCCAAGATGACCTGACACTACATCCTCGTATCCGCTAAGGCACTGTAAATAGCGACTTTTCCTCGAGGGGACGAGGACACGGAGTAAATTTTAGATTATAATTACGGAAATTACCGTGTGCGTTGATAAAGAGCCTGCTGCGCTCCGAAAATATGTATATTAATTCTAATTAACAGAGACGTACCTTGTACACTGCGCACCGTTCAATAGCGACGTGCGTCTATGCATTATCCGTAATTACGTTTCGTTACGATCGGAGAATATTTTTGCGACGGGATCGGAGGACAATAACGTTGCAGAACTGTTAAATTGAAAGCGGCTCGCCAACGGTAAATTATATCGCGGCTATATATTCTTCGGGACTTAATTGGAGTTTGAGCTTTATTGAAATATCTCAGTCCGGAATAATGCTGTATTTTTTTATCGGCTATCGGCTTTTTTCATTCCCGGCAGGGGGATCGATCTTACTTGTAATCGCTTATATTAAAACTACGACTGACTTATCCAAATTTGCGATGCGAGCAGCGGCTCGATCTCCGCGGCGAAAATCATTAAGAAAGTAAAACGCTCGAGGATGGACGAGAAAAATGCGTTTAAAAGTAATTGACCGCTTATACAGGGTGTTATGCAATATCCGCCTCACCTTTTATTTATGGATAGAGCGGACTAGACTGACAAGTAACACCACCCAACCGCCACTCACCGATCTGAATGAAACTTGGCACACTAATTGAATACTAAAAAATATTGAACGCGTACTTTTTTTGTTTCGGTTCAATGCACAATGTAGGGGGTAGAAATCACCCTTCGATCCCTAGGGGTGCAATTGCTACGGCGAATTATTTTCGAAATACTACCGTGTCTCGTACAATAGCAAAGCCAATCGCGGGACGGCCGCGTTTCGCCGCGAGCTTGAATTGGACGGTAGGCCGGGCCAAGACAGCGATTTTTACTAATTAATAACTCGATAACTGTCGCGAAAATTGCAGAATGGTAGAGGACTTTTCGACTCAGTCTAGTCCGCTCTATCCGTAAATAAGAGGTAGAGCGGGCACTACGTAACACCGTACGGCGGACGTTGCGATGTAGTTCACCGTTTTAGCGGCCGATCTTTTATCGTCGCTTCCCAATGAGCCCACAATCCGCGGACTGACGTGACGTGCGATGAAAACGCGTAGACAAACGTGTGTCCTAGGACTGCCAAAACGCGCACAACCCCGACTGCCATGTCGCGCTCGTCTCCATCGAGTTCGCCGTCGAGGCGAGACGAAGAGCCGATTTCGAGGAGTACTTTTCGCGCGTCGCCGTACGTTGTGCACCGTACAAATGTACACGCGCGCGCGCGTGTGTGTACATCTTAGAGAGATATATATATATATATATATTATATAGGTCCTCGTCGCATTTACGCAGCGGAGACGGAATGTAAATACCTTGTACATAGGGACGATGCGAGAAAAGAGAGACTTTATTTGCGAGGTGCCCGAGGTTAAACCCCTACTTGTCTGAGGGACGTCGGAACAGGCACGAAGGATCGTTATCGACGAATTCGTTAACGACATTCACAAGGCACTACGTTCGCCGGGAGATCGTAATGACGGGACACGAGAGTAACGACCCCGGCGCGCAAATCTTCCCTCCTTTAAGTGGAACTTGAGGAATTCCGGGCTTATTAGTTCGCCACGAATTATCATTCGATTCCTTGTTCCGACATCGATTATGTTGATTGCATCTCTACCCCCGGTGTCTCGTCGTTCCCCCCCCCCCCCCCGTGGCTAATCGATATCGTCATACGAACGTAATTGATCGTCGTCGTCGTCGGTCGACGTAGCGCCGAGGAGAGTCGACGCGACGAACGCTCCTTCGTGCGCGTACGCCCCTCCGTAATTTGTAAGATATATGCTCCGATGTACAGCGCCGAGATATTTTTTCAGAGTGTGCGTAATACAATACCTCCGCGTATATCGTGCAGTCTTGGGGCGCCCAATTAGGCGGGGGGCCCGTTTAAAAGGGAGGGCGGGACTGTATAATTAAACGATCGGTTTGGCGATTAATGGTCAGACAAGGAAATAAAGATATATGTATATGTACGTGTGCCTGCGCGTGCAAGTGTGTGTACATGCGTATGTGCCTGCGTGAGCGCGACACACGCGAATCTCTCGCCGTGTACGTTTGATTGTGGCGACCTGCGATTGAGGACTGGAAACAATTAAAACAAAGAGATATGTGTATGTGTGTGTGTGGGTGGATACGCGCTCTCATCGTTGCTTCACGATTCTTCTCTAACTGATTGCCGCGGAAAAACAATTTACGTTGATTCTTCAGTCGTCGTCTTGACCTTACAAGAAAATATCTTGCCAACGGCACCGAAAGTCACGTTACGTTTGAGTTATTTCCAGAATACTCACGAACTCGCGCCTTTCTTTCCACTGCCGTTGGAGTGTCGCAGTTATTTACGTCGCACTAAAGGATTTTCAAGAATTCGCGAAAGGGTTGAGATGAGAGCGTCCCTCTCTTTTTTTCCCTTTGTTCTTTCGCGTCCGGCGCTCGAACGAGAGAGATCGAAGTGGACGGAGAAAAGAGAATTATATCTCGAGTGCTCCAATTGAATCTCTGTAAGATCGATTTTTCCCCCGGCGTAAAAGACATCGAATTGTTTAAGCCGTTTGTCCTCTTTTATATCTTGCTCCATTGTACCGAAGATAACGCATCGCCATCTATTTTCACCTATAGCGATGCTATTTTCTTAATTACGTGTTTCTTCGTAGGGGAAAAAAAAGTCCCGCGCGACTTCGATTAAATGACGTGGATTCTTTAGTCGAATTTCCGAGTTAAAGTTCTCTCCCTCGCCCCGTCGTTTCCATAATCGTTCTTACGCTTCGTCGCTTTAAATATTTACGTATCTATGCACACGTTCGGTCGCAATAATGCGACCCAGCCTGATAAGGTTATAACTTATTACCCGTATCACGTACGTCGTACGGTGCATACAATAGCTGCAGTGCAGTAGCTCTGCAGTGGATCACCCGGTACGTATACCCGGGCGTGTCTGTACACATGTACAAAAGTTCGATTGGCGGAGTCCTTCCGGTTTCGCAGGTATTTTAAGCACGCGCTCCGTTAACGATCGCGCACGTTTTCTCCTCGCGCCCTCCACCCTAAATTCTCGCTTCTCGCACGCCGTGCAATACATTCCACGTTTCCTGTCAAATACCGGCGGGCACGTGTGAACGCGGCCGGTCCCGGCGCCGCGGAAATTTTGACGGTAATAAAGAAACGATGGCCAGCGCCGAGTTTCGCGCGACGCGACCCAATTTCGCGGCCGCGGCCGCGCGGCGAACGGGCGCCGCGTAATGAGCAATTACAGGCTGATACATGTCGCTGGTGTTTTGTGCTTTCGACTAGTTGGTTTGATGTTTAAGCAGCGGGCTCGAGTGTGCTAAATCTCCATTTAACACGTTTCATTTTTTCACAGAAATGTCGTCACCATAACGTGACACGGTAGAAATATTATAATTACATTTTATAAAACAAACGCAAGTATAGACACCTCAGTCGTTGCCGATTGTCATTTTCGAGAATTCCGACATTTAAAAAGTCAGTTTACCTTCTTTCCCGATTTTTTTTAAATATAGACGCTCTTTGCTTTCTTTTATTGTAACGCACATCGGAAATGAT